CCCCCAAACATTATATATATTTTAAGCAGAGACCCAAGAGTAGAATGGCGGTCATTGCAATTTTTTATGTCACACGGTATTTGCGCAGCAATTTTTCAAGCACAATTTTTTGGGGGAAAGAATACACTTTAATGATTTTTAATGTAAAAATGCAATACATAACCCAAATTTATTATAATGCCAAAGATGAGATATTTTTATTTTTACACTTTCCCTTTAACTTTTCTTTTTTTGATCACTTTTATTTCTATTACAAGTAATATATCTCTTGTAATATAAATACGACATGACAGGTCCTCTTTATGGAGAGATCTATAATTTTATAAGACCCCATAACTTTCCTCTATGCTAAAAAGCATGAGATAAAAAAATTGATTTCAGACTTTCCAGAAAAAAAGGATAGTGTTTGCATCTGCCAGAGCTGGAAGCTACGTTGCTTCCGGCCTTTCAGGATCATAGAGATGGCCAAGGACTATTTGGTCACACGGGAAAGCACTGAGAGGTGCTGCTGGGTGAGAGGGGAATGTCCCTTCCCACTGCCTGTAAAAGCAATCCAGCAGCTAATCAGCCGCTAGGATGGCTTTTACATTGCAGGGAATCGCCAGCTGAAAAAAGATATTTGAATGATGCCTGTAGCTGCAGGTATCATCCAGATATCTCCACTGAAACCCAAGGCTGTCACATGACGTCATGCAGGCGGCAAGTGGATTAAAGTGATAAAATATGAGTAAATGTGCACTATACGTGGTTTGCTACATTTTATTTTGTAAGTGTTTGGGGTAAACTCTTATGATGATCACAGCTGTGCTGGGCATTTTTCCATGGGTTGCAGTATATTTATTGTAGGCTGTAGTAATATTTAGTTGAGTATTACTTCCAGTGTAATAATTTGAGGCAATATTGATGCAAATGTTTTCAATTAAAATCTCTGCTTGTATTTTTTTTTATCACAATTTCACATTACATCCCCTTTTACTAATTTAAGACTTTGTTTATTTTTGTTCTGTACAATTATGTTGTCCATAGGCATGCTATAGCACCTAGATATCAGACACTAATACATTTGTTAAAATAGCTTTTTAGCAAATAAACTTGTACACATTATTGTGTTAGTCAAACCTTTCTAGTTAGATAAACTTTTGTCATGACTAATTTGTGTTGTGGGCAGCACAGTGGGTAAATGGTTAGCACTTCCACCTGGCAGTACTAGGGTTGTCAGTTCAAATCCCAACCACAGCACCACCTGCCTGGAGTTTGCATGTTCTCCCTGTGCCTGTGTGGGTTTCCTCCAGGTACTCCAGTTTCCTCCCACACTTCAAAGACATGCTGGTAAGTTCATTGGCTCCTGTCTAAATTGTCCCTAGTATGTGTATGTATGAATGTGAGTTAGGGACCTTAGATTGTATGCCCCTTGATGGTTAGGGACTGATGTGAATGTACAATATATATGTAAAGCGCTGCGTAAATTGACAGCGCTGTGTAAGTACCTGGAATAAATAATACATTTCTTGTGAGGTCACTTGCTTGCAGCTGTTGGAGTGCAATAGTTTGATATTTTTAGTGCCTTTTCCTGATCCTTTTCCTTTGAGTGTCACCCTGAGAGAGGAGTCCATGTGCAACTTCAAAATATTAGCTATATGGCTAATGTAACATGTTTTATAATTAAAGCAGAGTTCCACCCAAAAGTGGAATCTCCACTTGTTTGCCTCCTTCCCCCATGCACTGCCATATTTGGCACCTTTTGGGGGGGGTGGTAGCAGGTACCTAGTTTTGACAGGTACTTGCTCCCACTTCCAGCTCAGCTTGCAGAGGTAAAGTGAGCCAGTAGTTCGGCCCCCTCCTTTTTTCTGCAGTCTCCTGGGAACCTTCACAAGTCCCAGAAGACTGCCGGACCAATCAGAAGACGCAGCGCGACTCACGCATGTGCAGTGGGCATCTGGCTGGGAAGCCTCAAGCTGTAACAGCTTGGTGCCCACAGTTGAGATGCCGGTGCTGTGGAGAGAAGAGAAGGGATGGCATGAGTGAGGACATCTCTGGACCCTGGGACAGGTGAGTGTGTGTTTATTAAAAGTCAGCAGCTACAGTTTTTGTAGCTGCTGGCTTTCAATAAACACAAAAACAGCTGGAAATCTGCTTTAAGTTGTCAAGACAAACATTCTGCGGTGCCGCTGACTTCTCTTTCCATGATGTAATACTTGCATTGCCTTATCTGTTGCAGTCATTTCAAGCACCCTGTTGATATTATTGATCTACAACGTAATGCTGCAGAGGTAGTACAGCTTAAAACACTGACTTTCCTGAATGCAAAAAGGGACAATGACACAAGTCACCCTGGTGAAACAAGAATAGGGCATTAGTGAACAAATAAACAACAAAAAATAACTGTGATTTTTCTTCTTTGCTACAAATGTATTCATCTCACACAGGCCTATTGATAGAATTCACAATGGCTGCTTAGTCATCTGGGTCTTTGAGTGGTACAACATACAGTAGTAAGTACTATATTAAAAATAAAAAAAAACTCATTCTGTTACGAAGAGTTTCTTAAACTGGGTCATTGCAGCAACAGTCTATCATCTGTGTTTTTTTCAGTAGTTAATTGACTTTAATCATCTGTAAACTTTTTCTTTAAATACAAAATTTCCTGCATTATGGAAATGTAATGGACATTTTTCAGACAGTTTTTTAAAAAAAATGGCATTTTAGGGCTATCAATGTAATAAAACTGCTTCAATATCACATTTTATTTTAGTCAGATAAACAAATTCCTACTTAATCACACAGCATTTAAATAGTGGAACAGAAAACAGCTACCCTTGGCGTTTTATCACCCAGCCAAATCTACAGTAATCAAAACATTTGATTTTTTGTGTAGCAAACTGTACTTAAAAAAAACACTCTCTTATTTGCTGCAGCCAGAAATGTGTTGGACATGTAAGGTTTAATGTACTGAGGTTCACTCATTACTCTAGCATAACTCTCAGTAACAAAACTCTTCTCTATATTAATTCTATATTAATAAAAATCTACTTATTTAAATGCAATAGTGTTATAAACACATGAGCTTTACAGTTCCTAACATTTCATAAGTGTTAGACGTATTCAGTAAGGTAGTAAAGTTATCTACAACAGCCATAACCCATCCTGGCCCCCAATGGCTAGAGTTTCTGATGTTTTCAGGCCAGTCCTATTCTGATGTTTTCAGGCCAGTCCTATTCTGATGTTTTTGGGCCATCTGCAGAGCCCTCTTTATCTTTATCACTTCACTGGGCTGGGTGGTCCATGCTGGTGCAGGAGATCATGTGCTTTGCGCCAGTACAGTAAAAAGTAAAGGGTGGTGTGGGTGCTCTCCAAGGTAAGACCATTACATCTTGCTTTCAGAACAGGGTGCTTGGCCTTCCGGTTAAATGGATTAAACATCATTGAAAACAGAAGATTGAGGACATCTTGTGGTCAGGAACAGGGAAGGGGGGGTGGAGGGAGGTCAGCTTCAGAGAAAAGGTGAGTACTTATGCAAAAACTCAGTTCACAAAGTTAACACACTAGGATAAGTATCCTCATTTTCTGCTCCAGTGTATCTGCCATTATGTATATTAAAGTCTATGGAATCATTATTTAACACCTTTGTCTGGGGTAATATCCATTATAAATTGTCTGGGTGTATTCATAGGAACCAAACCATTTAGGGGTACAGCTCTTCCAGATTTCAACCTTTACTACTTGACTGCACAATTGTCCCATTTCTTTCACCTAGACAAGGGACATAGGGACTGCTTTCTTGCTCTAGTATGTTACTGTCTTCTTTTGTCGGCTGCTACAACTTTAGCTTATCAAATGAAAACTCGCTGGGTGGTGGATGTCGGGGAGCTGGAGGATGCGGACTGGGCTGAGCTGCTGGATTTGTGCAGAGTTGTTTCCCGGAAACTCTCTGACCGTCTCACTCATTTATATACTCTACATAGAACCTATTTGACTCCTATACGTTTGTCCAAATACTGACCACATTACAGTCCCCTTTGCCCTAGCTGTGGAGAGGCCAGTGGTACCTTTTGTCACTTACTATTGTCTTGCCCTGTTATTAAAGGCTACTAGTCTCAGGTTTTTCAGTTCCTGCACGACTCCCCTCTCACCCCCAAGCAATGTCTTTCGGGCCTTTTTCATAATCCAGATAGTGATAAATACCACCATATTTTTTTTGTAAGAATCCATTTTCTTGGATAAAGTGCTAATTGTTTGGGTTTGGCTCAGGGTGTTACCACCAACTGTTCAGGAATGGGTGCCCACTGTCAACATTGCGTTGCCCTACAAGAAAGTAATATACGCTCACTGGCCACTTTATTAGGTACACCTGTTCAATTGCTTGCTAACACAAATTGCTAATCAGACAGTCACATGGCAGCAACTCAATGCATTTACACATCTAGACATGGTAAACACGACTTGCTGAAGTTCAAACTGAGCATCAAAATGGGAAAGAAAGGTGATTTAAGTGACTTTGAACATGGCATGGTTGGCGCCACAGGGGCTGGTCTAAGTATTTCAAAAACTGATGATCTACTGGGATTTTCATGTACAACCATCTCTAGGGTTTACAGAGAATAGTCCAATAAAGAGAAAATATCCAGTGCACAGCAGTTGTGTGGCCGAAAATGTCTTGTTGATGTCAGAGGTTAGAGGTGATTGGGCAAATGATAGTCAGCAGTAACTTACTGTATGTCAATATGGACCAAAATCTCTGAGGAATGTTTCCAACACCTTGTTGAATCTATGCCATGAAGAATTAAGGCAGTTCTGAAGGCAAAAGGGGTCCAACCTGGTACAAGCAAGGTGTACCTAATAAAGTGGCCAGAGGGTACTGTATATGTTCATAGAGAGTGACCTGTTAAATATCACAAAATCTGGTATAAGTGGGTAGATTCCACCTCCACCTGTGATGATGCAAACATTGTGGATTCATGAATATGATGTTACATGTTCACTGCATCACCTGTTAGCCTTACATGCAGGGGCGGACTGAGAACTCATAGGGCCCCCGGGCAATAGGGGATCATGGGTCCCCTGTGTCCTTGCCCAAACTCAAAAAAGCCTATGAAAAAGGTACCAGGGGCATCTCATGGGGCCCCCTACTGACCCCGGGCCCTCGGGCAGTGCCCGAGTTTCCAAATGGTCGGTCCACCCCTGCTTACATGATTTAGACTTTCTCAATGATCTATAATGTCTGATGTCTTGCTTTATGCTCACCTACTAGGCAGCAGGTAACCTAGATTAAAGTGTGGACTTCAGGTATATATATGACATGTTTTCCTCCCATTTTTCCTGCTGCATGTACTTGGGATGTACTTCATTGCCAAATATTATGGTTCCCTTATTTTAATGTGGAAACTGTCATTGCTCTATACCAGAATTTCAGTTACCCTTATGTACTGTTCTCTTGAATATGCTTATACGCTGTTATCTCTAACATTTACAGTTAGATCACCTTATGCTGGTATAGAGGCTTTGTGAATTGAATGGATGTATTTACCAACTTTAAAAAGGACCTCTCAAGTAGCCTACGAGGAAAATAAATTTGTCATCTGTGACGTTCATTAGTCTTAGGATGATTTTTTTTCATTACTTGTGTTCTCATTGCAGTTTAAAAACGTTACTTTTTATGAAAACTTTTAATACTGTAGCATAGATTAACTGTTCACTCTTTATGGTTTCAATATATACAAACTGTATATAATTATGCACACGTTGTAAATTGTGGCAGCTGTGATCTATCATTGCCACAGTTAGTCTTAAAAACGTTTCCGAATGAAAACACCTACATCTACTTATTTTTTACATATAAACACACCATACAGAATAATTGAAGGGAAATAATTCATTTTAACTGCATCAGCTACATATATTAGGTTCAAAACGCACAGAGATTGTGGAAAACGAGGTTAGACCAATCATTATTGTGCATAAAAATCTCATGCAAGTAATTTTCTTCTCAAGATTAAGCAGTATTAAAGACACTATTTTTAAGTGAGAAAATATTACTAATTCCTTTAAGTTGTGTTGTCTCTTTTTGACCAAGAGCTGTATTACTACATTACTTTCTCCAATGAACCTTACCTAAGTATTTCTTGCTCATTGTTTAGTCTATGCTCATTGCATTTGTTTCAGTGAAATAAAGTTGCCAATTGTGTTAAGATAATTAGGTTGGCCTATAGCGAATGGGTCCTATTTATAAAAACAATATTTTTTAAAATCTTTTTTCCCCACTTTTTAATGCTATTACAGGTTTGATTGATTCCCTTATAAAAGCACTTCGTATTACTATACTGAAAATCATGTTTCTCCTAAATTTTTATTTCATATGTTTATGGCTTTCATGCACATTGCAAAATGTGCTTCACAGCCTTTCGCTAGCAAAGTAAAGAAGGATGAGACAAGAAGGAACTTCTAAGTGCAGTATATCCAAATTCACTTTAATGACAATGGTTAAAAACTCTTACAAAGTGGCAGTAAAAACAGGCTCTGTATAATCCGTCATGATGCGGGGGCTCTGTCCACCAAGCGAGAACCCGCTGTGCCGACCAGCAGCTGCAGGAGGAGCCGAGGATGGGATGACAAAGATGGCCACCACTCTTCTGGGGCCACTGGAACGCACGCTGGAGCGCACACTATTCAGGGGGAACGCAAACCGGAAGTGACGTGGGTGTGGAATGGTGATGCGTTTCGGAGCATGCGCAGAGCTCCTTCTTCAAAAGTCTTCAAAGGTTCCATATCCACGTCACTTCCAGTTTGCCTGTTTTTACTGCCACACTGTAAGTGTTTTTAACCTTTCTCATTAAAGTGAATTTGGATATACTGCACTTAGAAGTGCCTTCTTGTCTCATCCTACTTTACATACAGAGTCTACTTCAACTCCTGGAAGTGCTGCCCAGTGCCTGTGTTCCAGTTCATCATCCATTATTGGCTGACATTCCTCTATCCACGGCATCCTCCATTGATGCGCCCTACATATATCTTCTATTTGGCTTGCAAAGTAACTTTTTAGCATTAGAGTGACAAAATTGGCTGTCTGAAATGGTTTCATAGGTTTGATTTATAATGAAGCGGCAAGCTGCATTTTTATACAGTATTAATCTGGCCAGCAAATCAATAACACAAATAATAAACAAGGTACCTACTCTTTATTTTGTATGTTTTAGTGTAGTTAACAGAAACAAATACTTAACTGAAATTGTTAACAGGTTTGAAAGTAGGTACACTCATCATTAGTAAAACTCATGCAAACAGAGTACAGACATTGCCAATTGTCTGTTCTTATTTGTAGGTAACAAAATGAACAAAGTGGCCAAAACAGAATTTTTTTTTTTTTTCAATAATCTAACTGATGCTTGCTCTTGCTATTTTTACTGGGCTTGAGAGTTAAAACTGTGCTTACTAATGATTCTTTGATGAGTTCTCTTTTTGAGAAATGGATCATATAGAGGTTTTAGAATGTGGTGGAACCAGGGGCGGACTGACAACTCATGGGGCCCCCGGGCAATAGGGGATCATGGGGCCCCTGTGTCCTTGCCCAAACTCAAAGAAGCCTATGAAAAAGGTACCAGGGGCATCTCATGGGGCCCCCTACTGACCCCAGGCCCTCGGGCAGTGCCCGAGTTTCCAAATGATCAGTCCGCCCCTGGGTAGAAGATCTTAGTTGCTAATGCCCTAAAACTGCATTCTACACAGGAGTTCTTTATTATCTGCTTGAATGCTTGATCATAACTATCAGATTACAGGTGGTGTCAGCAAGGTAGGATGTCCGAGTAATGCTAACACAATTTACAATGTACATGACTGGCTTTTTATATAATGGGAAAATGGGAAATAACAGAAGCTCAGCTAAGACCAGAATATTCATAAGGGTTTTTAAAATTCTTGATTTATGCTCTCAATGCAGTGGAGTGTTTTATTAGGGTTTGCAAATGATGGTACTGATGGTCACTGCAATGTTTTCATTTTTCTGTACACTTGTCTCTAGTTATCTACTAAACAATTATCTTACTTTTAGTTTCTATTTTTATTTTAAAATATCATATTGCCATTTTTTTTGTACATTATTAATGTATGGATGCCATCCATAAAGCTTCTCCATAAAGCACATTATTTTATTAGCTTTAGTTTGCTCTATTCCAATTCACTTGTTTTGTGTTTGTGTTCCTTTTGTCTCTTTTGCATATCTCATGGTGTATTTAGAACAAGAGACCTCTAATGAAAATAAGTTGCACTGCAACTGTCTTCAATCAATTAAAGAGGCTGCATAGACAGTGGGAATTATTGAATAAATGGAAGCAGTCTAACTTACCTCCACATCTTCTTCCTCTTTCTTTTCCTCTGCTTTCACTATTATCAAATTGTCAAAAGGGTCAACAGTGAGATCACTTGAAAGCATTTGGTTGTTGTTTATAGATCAGTACAGAATCATTACCCCGGTCAGTAAAGCCTCAATCAGCATGGTTGTGAAAAAGCTATGAATTCTTTTTCTTTACAGCTAAAGACACATTTGAGATTCTTAAGTAATCATTAACATGTGCAGTTGACCTTTTTGACCTGCCTTTGACCTGCTTCAGTTGCTTTTACTTTCTTATTTATTTATTTCAGGAACTTATATAGCTCCGTAAATTTACGCAGCATTTACATATATATTATACATTCACATCTATCCCTAAACCTCAAGAGGTGTACAATCTAAGGTCCCTAACTTACATTCATGCATATACTAGGGCCAACTTAGACAGGATCCAATAACCTACCAGCATGTCTTTGGAGTGTGGGAGGAAACTGGAATATCCAGAGGAAACTCACGCAGGCACAGGGAGAACATGAAAACTCCAGGCAGATGGTGTTGTGGTTGGGATTTAAACCAAGCCTAGTACTGCCAGGCGGAAGTGCTAACCATTTAGCCACTGTTCTGCCCACATTCTTGTAGACCTGTATGAGCAGAGGAGGTGTTCTGCCATAAGCTAAAGTCTCTAAACGTGTATTGTGACCAGGGGCGGACTGACCATTTGGAAAATCGGGCACTGCCCGAGGGCCTGGGGTCAGTACGGGGCCCCATGAGATGCCCCTGGTACCTTTTTCATAGGCTTTTTTGAGTTTGGGCAAGGACACAGGGGCCCCATGATCCCCTATTGCCCGGGGGCCCCATGAGTTGTCAGTCCGCCCCTGATTGTGACCCCAGTGCCAATAAAACTAAATGTCAGATCTTGTACCCTAGTAAGCTAACATAAAAAATGCATACAATTTCTTGACTTTTGGGTACTTCCAGTTACATTTGTTGTAGGGTGGGTTATCAGATTCTTTTTATATACTTTACTTAGAAAAGTGATGGTAATCATATGTTCATAGCTTCCACAATCCTTATCAATCTTTATAACAATCTCATTCATAGAGCAGTTACGTATAATATTTTTATTAGATTACAATTACTATTATGCATTATTTGCATCACACCAAATGCATAAAAGTGATATTTTTGCATATCCACTAGAGAAAAATGTATCGATTTGAAACATAAACATAGAAAAATATGTCATAGTAACCTGTTTTAGGTTCATCTTAACTACTTCTTACTTAACCACTTTCTGCAAGCTGTACGCATATATGCGGCCTCGCAGCTGAACGCATGCTCCATATGCACTCCAAGCACAGTCACCAGCGGGTACTGGAAAGCATACTTGCAATTGGGAGCGTTTTGATCATGTGACTGCTGTGACTGCCAATCACAGTGGTCACAGGATCCGTATGCCTGCCTCTGCCTCCTGACATTTGGAACCTGCTAAAGGGCTGGGAGGCAGCATCAGGAAGGGGTTAATACATCAGACTACAAAAATACTTTCAAGGCCAATTCACACTGACAAGGCAGGAATTTGCAGCATAGCTGGAACATTTCACCGCTGCAGTCGCTCTGCATTGTCAGATGTGCTAGGGGACAGTGTAGTGTGCAATTCATATGGCTCCCTTTTTTTTTATTTGTACCAGCTTTATTTGAAGTGTACAAAATGTACACTTCATTCAGTGCAATTTCAGGCAATGTGATGTGCTGCGCTACCCAACATTGCAGTGCAATTCAGCCCGGTGTGCTGTGATAAAATGCCACATATTCACATTTTACCACAGCATGCTGCAGCACAGTGCTATGCAGTGTGGGT